TTTTTTTTTGTCTGTCCCTTTGAGCACCATTCTGGGTAAAAATCTGAAATCGTTTTGGAACATTTGGGCCCTATTGGATTTTAGGGCATCAACAAGTGGTTCTCATTCTTAGAATAATTCATGGCAAGGGAAAGCTATTATTTTCTGAGAGTTAGCATGGGATTTGAATTAAAAAAATGTAATGGCTATTTCCTGCTCCAGACTTATTGAAACACCATCGGCTATGCGCATATTAGCTGTAGCCTTGATATACAGCCTGTGATAAAAGTAATTTTACTCCATTTAGCTCAAACTATCTTCTAGTTTTACACAAGGAAACCACTGTACATTTACATGTATTCATTTGGCAGATGCTTTAATTCAAAACGACTTAAAATTGAGGAATACAACAAGCGATTTACCATAAGATAGCAATAAACACACAAGAAGTGCCCATTACACAAGCGAGTTATGTGACATCATAAATTTATTTCATAATTATTGCATGGCGCTAGCAACACCAAGGTTCCCATTCAGTCAGTCACGTTCAACGTTACGTCAGTGACTGACGAATTGGGATCTCGCCCGAGAGCCCAATCACCTTCGAGTGTTAACTAAACAAGCCAATGACAGTTGGCGTGCGGCCATCCAGGACCTCAGCGGGCTGCAGCTCTCATTCTGCGGTCTCGCTGCGACCTCCCCTGGGTGCTTCAGCGCTCTCACGCTCTCACTGTTTCCTTTTTTCCTAAAAGAGAAAATATCTAAAAGAGCTCCACGAGCGACGGGCGTCTTTTTAAAGATGGCTTCCCGCTCGTGCATTTCTGGATGTGGTCGTTTCCTGGCTTCATCTGATGGTCATGATCACTGTGTCTCGTGCCTGGGCTTACAGCACGCTGAAACAGCGCTCATGGATGAGTCATGTTCTCAGTGTGGGAACATGACCATCGCGAGCGGCCACAACAGCAGCAACGGCCGCAGCGTGGAGCTGGCCGCAGGAAACCGGCGCAGCCCGCCTCCGCCCCTGCCAAGCCCGTGAAGCACCAAAGCAGGCGGCGTCCCTGAGACGGGCGACCCGGAGCCCTTGGATCCTGCTCTTCAGGAGATGGTGACCGCACCACTCCTTCCCCCGGAGGAGGGCCGGGTGGAGAATCTTATGTTCCCTTTTGTTTTTGTTCCGCCACTGGCTACTCAGCCAGTGGTACCCAAAACTTCGTTAAAAGAGCAGTTTCCTTTGCCTCCGGGTCCCAAGAGGGTGAGGACGGCGGTGCACGAGACCCAGTCTCCACTCAGCCGGCCCCCTCTCCCTTCGCTAGTGGGCAGCAGGGTTCAGTTCAAGGACGCTACGCCTCCTCACGAGCCCCCTGCCCAGCAGTGGAGCCAGGTAAGTCGCGCGCTGCGCACTCAGACCCCACCCTGGGACGCGCGGCCTCCCGGGTTGGGTCCCTGTGTTCCACTTCGCTGCCCCACTGCGGGTACGTCGGTGGTCTCCCTGGTCCTGCTAGTTCGGTCGCTGGGGGCCTGGTTAGCGCTCCCCAGGCCGTCTCGCTGGCTCCTGAGAACCATCAGACTCGGCTACGCGATTCAGTTCGCCCGGCGCCCTCCCAAGTTCAGGGGCATTCGGTTCACCTCTGTGCCGGACAAGGATGCTCCTGTCTTGCGTGCAGAGATCGCGGTCCTGCTAGCGAAGGACGCGATACAGCCGGTCCCTCCAGCCGAGATGAGGTCGGGCTTCTACAGCCCATACTTCATCGTACCCAAGAAAGGCGGTGGGTTACGACCGATCCTGGACCTGCGCGTACTGAACCGGGCCCTTCACAAGCTCCCGTTCAGGATGTTGACGCAGAAACGCATCTTTCAATGCGTCCGTCCTTTCGATTGGTTTGCAGCGGTCGACCTCAAGGACGCGTACTTTCATGTCTCGATTCTCCCTCGACACAGACCGTTTCTCCGCTTTGCGTTCGAAGGGCGAGCATATCAGTACAAGGTCCTCCCCTTCGGGCTATCCCTGTCGCCTCGTGTCTTCACCAAGGTCGTGGAGGCAGCCCTCGTTCCATTGAGGGAAGCGGGCATTCGCGTTCTCAACTACCTCGACGACTGGCTCATACTGGCCCAGTCCCGAGCGCAGTTGTGCGAACACAGGGATATGGTGCTCAGTCACCTCAGCCGATTGGGGCTTCGGGTCAACTGGGAAAAGAGCAAACTCTCTCCGGTGCAGAGGATCTCTTTTCTCGGCATGGAGCTGGACTCGGTCAACCTCTCGGCACGTCTCTCAGTAGAGCGTGCGCAGTCGATGCTGAACTGCCTGGGGTCCTTCCAGTGCAAGACGGCGGTTCCACTGAGACATTTTCAGAGGCTCCTGGGGCATATGGCATCCGCAGCCGCTGTTACGCCGCTCGGGTTGCTTCATATGAGACCGCTTCAGCGTTGGCTTCACGACCGGGTCCCGAGATGGGCATGGCGACACGGCACTTACCGGGTTTCTGTTACCCCGTTCTGCCGTCAGACCCTCAGCCCATGGACAGATCTTGCCTTTCTTCGGACAGGGGTGTCCCTTGGGCAAGTATCCAGGCATTTTGTTGTGTCAACAGATGCCTCTGCCAGGGGCTGGGGTGCCATGTGCAGTGGGAATGCAGCTGCGGGGCTCTGGTCGGGGCCCCGACTACAGTGGCATATCAACTGCCTCGAGTTGCAAGCAGTATGGCTGGCTCTGCGCCGCTTCAAATCGCTGCTACACGACAAGCATGTACTGGTCCGTACGGACAGCACTGCGACCGTTGCGTACATCAACCACCAGGGCGGTCTACGCTCCCGTCGCATGTCGCAACTCGCCCGCCATCTCCTCCTCTGGAGTCAGAAGCATCTGAGGTCGCTTCGCGCCGTTCACATCCCAGGCGAGCTCAATCGTGCAGCCGACGAGCTCTCACGTCAGCCCGCCCTTCCGGGAGAATGGCGACTCCACCCCGAGACAGTCCAGCTGATTTGGAGACGCTTTGGGGACGCTCAGGTAGACCTGTTTGCCTCCCCGGACACGTCCCATTGCCAGTGGTTTTACTCCCTGGCCGAGGGACCCCTCGGCACGGACGCACTGGCGTGCAGCTGGCCTCGGGGCCTACGCAAATATGCGTTTCCCCCAGTGAGCCTTCTCGCACAGACACTGTGCAAGGTCAGGGAGGACGAGGAGCAGGTCCTCTTGGTGGCGCCATACTGGCCCAGTCGGACTTGGTTCCCCGAACTGATGCTCCTCGTGACAGCCCCTCCTTGGCGAATTCCTCTGAGGAGGGATCTCCTTTCTCAGAGAGGGGGCACCCTCTGGCACCCGCGTCCAGACTTGTGGAATCTCCACTTATGGTCCCTGGACGGGACGCGGAGGTTCTAGGTGGGCTACCTCCAGCGGTAGTAAACACCATCGCTTCAGCTAGAGCCCCGTCTACCAGACACGCTTACAGGCTGAAGTGGAACCTGTTCGTCGGTTGGTGCTCTTCCCGCCTGGAAGACCCCCGTAGATGCCCGATCGCAGTCGTGCTTTCTTTCCTGCAGGATGGGTTGGAGCGAAGGCTGTCTCCCTCCACCCTGAAAGTGTATGTTGCCGCCATTGCCGCACATCACGATGCAGTAGACGGTAAGTCTCTAGGGAAGCACGACCTGATCATCAGGTTTCTCAGAGGGGCAAGGAGGCTGAATCCTCCGCGCCCTCACCTGTTACCCTCTTGGGATCTCCCCTCGGTCCTCATGGCCCTGAAGGAGGAGCCCTTCGAGCCTCTGCAGTCAGTAGAGCTTAAGGTTCTGTCATTAAAGACAGCGCTCCTCACCGCTTTGGCCTCGGTCAAGAGGGTAGGGGACCTGCAGGCATTCTCGGTTGACGATTCGTGCCTAGAATTCGGGACGGGTAACTCTCACGTTGTCCTGAGACCCCGGCCCGGATATGTGCCCAAAGTTCCCACCACGCCTTTCAGGGATCAGGTGGTGAACTTGCAAGCGCTGCCCCGGGAGGAGGCAGACCCAGCCATCGCTCTGCTCTGTCCCGTTCGCGCTTTGCGCATTTACGTGGACCGTACGCGGAGCTTCAGGACCTCAGACCAGCTCTTTGTCTGCTTTGGAGGTCAGCAGAAGGGAAAGGCTGTCTCCAAACAAAGACTTGCCCACTGGTTAGTGGAGGCTATAGTCTTGGCATACCAGGCCCAACGTTTACCATGCCCCCTCGGAGTGAGAGCTCACTCTACGAGAGGAGTGGCATCTTCTTGGGCATTGGCGCGGGGCGCCTCGATAGCAGACATCTGTAGAGCTGCCGGCTGGGCGACGCCTAACACGTTTGCGAGATTCTATAATCTCCGTGTAGAGCCCGTGTCCTCTCGTGTACTCGCCTCAGGTAGGCAGTAACACCGGACCTGCTCGGTGTCGATCACGCTTGCTGCGCCATTCCCCTCTACGGACCGGATACGTGCGCTCTTGTGCTCCTCATTCAGTTCCCCATGGCGAACCCTGGTGGAGTTCCTCCCGCACCCTCGGCGGTCAGGCGTGGCGGAGCGCCAGACGCCCGGCTCAGCACTCGTGTGCATGCCCAAGGTCAGCCCTTGTGCTGGGCTAGGTGCCCGTGTGTAGTGATTCCCCCTTCGGGTGATCCCACATGTGTATTCTTCCACGGTACGGCTCCCCTCTCGGTGAGCCCGTGTCTTTCCCTGGCAGTCGTTCCCTGCCATCTCTGCAGTGTAGTGATCTCACCCCAGGTGGGTTGAGTCTACCGCAGAGACTTCCATATGTAGTACTGCCCTGGGCCAGTCCATATGTGTAATTCCACATGTTACCTCCTATGTGCGGGATGTGGCTTCCGTAGCGTCCCAACTGGGTACGCTTTCCCAGTGTTATCCAATGCACCACTGTATGGAACAGCAGTGGCGGACACCTCTGCCTAGCCGCTGTCCTATCTTCCGCCCCAGCTGGTGTGGGGGGACTTGCCGGCTTCCGCAGGGCACTGGAGGGGGTCAGCAATAGTGGCGTTTTCCATACGGATCCCAATTCGTCAGTCACTGACGTAACGTTGAACGTGACTGACTGAATGGGAACGTCTAGGTTACTTGTGTAACCCTCGTTCCCTGAAGGAGGGAACGGAGACGTTACGTTCCGTTGCCACAGTTGCTGTACCACCGCTGTACGGCCGGGGCACGTAGTCTCGGCTCCTCAGTGAAAAACTGATGTGCGTTTACACGCGCTCTCCTTTTATACCTGCGCTGCGGGGCGGGGTGCGCGTGGCGAAGCACGCACGCCAACTGTCATTGGCTTGTTTAGTTAACACTCGAAGGTGATTGGGCTCTCGGGCGAGATCCCAATTCGTCAGTCACTGACGTAACATCTCCTTCCCTCCTTCAGGGAACGAGGGTTACACAAGTAACCTAGACGTTATGGGTTTGATTTCCAGGAAAAGCAAGAATTGAAAAACTGTAAATGTAAACATTGAATGCAATGGAAGTTGCTTTGGATAAAAGGATCTGCCAAATACATAAATGTAAATGTAAGATGCAAAACACATAAGATGATTTCCCAATAAATGGGCTTTTCCTCAAATAAGGTGATAAGACAACAAGCTGTGTGAGTACTAAAGAACTGCATTTGTCATTAAAGCAGGAAAGACAAAGAAAGAATGTTTGCACTCTATGAATAATGTATATACAGGCTTTCACACACATTTAAGGGTTTCTATGCCGGCCTTCAACATCAACCCATCGTGTATTTTCTCCACTGTCTCTCTGGACAGAGATGGGGATGCTAGATTACAGCTGGGTCATGGTTAAAGACAAAGGTACATTTGCAGGAGGTCGATGAACGACGCTTGTGTTTGCCCAGGAGCGACATGGCAAGATGCTGTTAATATTCTCCCGCCTGCAGGAAGGCTGGCACAGCAGAAAGGATGTGTAATGGATTCCACGCAGACTGCTCTTAAATAAAGCATTAGGGCCGATTTGGGAGCAAGCTTTTTTTTTTACCATTTCTCCCACTCTAGCTGCTCTGCATTTTTGTTCTCGGAGTGATTGGCTAAAGGAAACATGGGTCTAAAAACAACGAGTCGCTTGGTCCATTATAGAGCGCCAGTGCATTTTGTGCTCCATGGTGACTGCACAAATATAATAAATTACTTTGTGAGATGTGCAAGAGTTGTGGCAAGAATACACTAGATTGAAGATGAATCTGTGGAGGTATTGACACGGACAGAGTCTCTGTTGTAAATAACATCCCGCTGCACCATATCCATAATCCAGTCATGCTAGTGTAAACAAATACATACACATCCTCAAATTCACAGTACATTTTGTCTGTTATTTATTTTGCTTCCCTCGTGTGCACGACAGACAGTAATAAAACAATGACACGAAGACAAAGAGCTGAGATGCTTTTCCTGTGGTTCCTGTAGATCAGTGGCTCTGATTGTACATCAAGTGATGGCCAATATTTTTTATAGTACAAAATAAACAAACAAACATTGATATTAACTTATATAACATTATATAACGTATTATACATTAACTAGATAGACCCAATAATATGCAAAGTCATATTCACTTATTTTATTGGGTTCAGTAAGATTGGGGTCAGTAAGACTTATTTTTATTCAGAAGAAATGCATAAAATTTATCAAAGATGACAGTAAAAACATTTTACATTGTTGCAAAATTTTTATATTTTAAATAAATGCTGTTCTTTTGAACTTTCTATTAACTGAAGTATCATGTTTTCACAAAAATATCAAGAAGCACCATTGTTTTCAACACTGAAAATATTTGTTTAAAAGATGTTTCTTGATCAAATCAGCATAGTATAATGATTTCTGAAGGATCATGTCAAATTATATTAAAATAGAAAACAGTTATTTTAAATTGTAATAATATTTCACAATATTACTGCTTTACTGTATTTTTGGGCATTAATATACAGTATATGATGTAAATAATAAAATTATAAACATGACATTGACTGGTTTAACATAACTGATACATAAATACATCACTGATTTAACATATATGACACATTAACCTAATATTTGCATTTAGATTAATAAATACAAAATGCTGTACATATGCAATATATATTATGCATAAGCAATTTCTATTAATTATATATCTATTTTATATGTATACATATTTTATATATTAACTGGATATATATATATATACAGTGGGTACGGAAAGTATTCAGACCCCCTTAAATTTTTCACTCTTTGTTATATTGCAGCCATTTGCTAAAATCATTTAAGTTAATTTTTTTTCCTCATTAATGTACACACAGCACCCCATATTGACAGAAAAACACAGAATTGTTGACATTTATGCAGATTTATTAAAAAAGAAAAACTGAAATAACACATGGTCCTAAGTATTCAG